TTTTTTTTTTTTTTTTTTTTGTCACTACTTTTTCTCAGCTCTCACTGAACCGAATTCTTTCAATGATACGTCAAAAGATTACAAATCGTATCTAACCAAAGGCATTACCCTTAAAAATTGAAAAAATTTCCCTTGTTCCCCATAAATGAGATTAAACTTCAAAAAAAATTACAAATTTAAAAATCACTAATTTACGAAATTTTTTCAATTTCTTTTATTTAAAACTGCCTTAACTTTTTCAAAAATGAACAAATCAATGTAATTAATTTTTTTATAGATGCATGATGTCTTTACTTTTCATTTGGTATATTTTTTTATAAATCTGACCCATTAAATGCTCGCAAAGGAAAATTCAAAATGACAATTTTTTCACAAAAAATTAACTTTTTCAACTTAACTTTTGAAAGTGTTCCCGAAATTCTGACACTTTTATATATATCTTAAATTAAAGCTAATGTAAAATACTTTATTATAGAAAAAAAAAATTTCGGAATTTATTTTGTCTTCACAGTGAAAATAATTACCAAATGATATTTTTGTGTGGAAATTCTCGATTTTATATTTTACATTTTTTACATTAAAATGCTATAACTTTATAGTATTATAGTATTATTATAACTATCTTTTTTTTTACAATGCATACATTTTTATATTATATATTGTTTCTAAACCATAAGACTTTCAATCACTCAATCAGATGCTTAAGGTTTGATATTATTGTATAATTAGCTTAGATGGTAACTTTATGTATTTTTATTTACATTTATGATTGTTATAAACAAGTTAAAGATAATATAATTAGTGTTTTAAAATAAAAAAAAAATATTTAATAAATTTATTGAAGAAAAACATTAAAATAACATCTGAATGACTTTTCTATGCAATGATATATTTTTGATTAAAAATCATGAAAAAATTATTCATATGCTTACTTATAATTAATTAAATATTAGATATTATATTTTCACTGTAATTTTGTTTATAATTTTTATTGTGAAATTATTATGTTTGTATTTATTGAGTGAATTATGTCTTATTTAATTGATTTCATTAGTATTTTATGTACTTGGATTAGAACAAATTATTTTAATTATATTACTATTTTAGCATGAAGAATCACCAGAAAACGAATTTAAACTTGGAATGAAATTAGAAGCTGTAGACCCACGAAATATAACATCTATGTGCATTGCTACAGTTGTTGGTGTTGTTGGCCCTAGGATAAGATTGCGCTTGGATGGAGGAGATAATAAAAATGACTTTTGGAGATTGGTGGATTCATCAGAATTAAAACCTGTTGGGTATACTGAAAAAAAAGGAGGCATGCTGCAACCACCTCTTGGTAATTTTTTTAAAGTAATTACAAATAATTTGTTCTTTTGAGAAACACAATCCGCCCTTTTTATTACAAAAATGTTGTAATAAATTTTAATTTTTTGAAGATAGATATTTTTTATAGAAAAATGGCTTCTTTCACTAAATTTTTACTCTCTAAATGGGCAAATATTCTTTTAAAATTAATATTTTCAACTGAAGACATAAGAAATTAGAGAAACAAAATTATCAAGTAAATAATAATTAATAATGTCTCGTGAAATATTTTGTAGTTATGTATATAACTACAAAATACATATATTATATGTAATATAATATATGCTCATTGAAAAAAAAAAATTTTTTTTTTATAAATTCTTGTATTTTAATAGTTTTAGAAAGCCATTAAATTTTCTATCAATTTGTTGTGGTTGAAATTTATTCTGTATGATTACTCTGAAATTTAAAGAGCTAAATTTTTATGAATATTTATAAATGTCTTTTTATTATTATAGTACAGCATTTTGATTTTTAAATTGTACATAAATGATTTTAATGTTAATTTATAGGTTTTCGTATGAATGGCTCATTATTTCCTATGTTCCTCGTTAAAACATTGAATGGAGCATATTATTCACCTGAAACAGCCTTTAAATCTGAACCAAAAACACCGACTGATAATTTATTTAAAGTTGGTCAAAAAATTGAAGCAGTTGATAAAAAAAATCCACATTTAATATGTGTAGCAACTATTGGTATTTATTATATATTGTTGTCATAGTAAAATGTAGGTTTAATTTTTTAATTTAATTTAAAATTTTGATTAAAGGTGATGTTAATAAAAATAATATATTTGTTATGTTTGATGGATGGCGTGGTGCATTTGATTATTGGTGTTCTTATGACTCGAGAGATATTTTCCCTGTTGGATGGTGTGTTAAAAGTGGTCATCCACTTCAACCTCCTGGTCATAAAGGTAATAGTAATATACTACTTTTCACTGTAAATAATTTTCATTTTTAAATATTGAAAACTATCAAGAAAAATCATTATCTAATTTTTAAGATATATGATATAGTATTACGAATTATGTAATATTATTAATTAATAACTAAATTATACTGTGATTATAAACATTATTTTATTATTTTCACTATTTAATTAATACATATAGCTTAGGTGATTTGGAAGTATTAAAAAAAACATTTAATCAATTAATTTTTATAATAATTATAAGTTTTACTTATAAAGAAAATACTTTACTATTTTAAATTAACAAGTTGTTAATTACATTCATAATTAATAATACTGTAATTCACTTTTAATTCTGTGATTTAATCATATGTGTTAGGTTATTATATGAGTAATTTTAAGAGGTATAATTCTTTAAGTCAAGTATTTCTCAGTTTAAAAATTTAACTTTTAAGTTAATATCCGTCAATATATTAATGAATTTTTATATATTATTGTTAATAATAAATATTTTCAAGGAGGATTTTTGCAGCTCTTAATATTCATCAAATTAATTGTATATTAAAAAGAAGGCGTCTGCTGTTTCTAAAAAAAATGTTATAGCTAACAATGGCTTATGATAAATTATAATTAACTAACATATGTCGAGTATTCATTTCCTTATTTAATGATATCTCCTTAGAAATTACTATATTATTGAATATCAATTTGATATTAAATTTATTTATTCGTGTATAATTCTTATAAATCATACAACTTATAATTAGGGTATGGTTAAAGAAATAGTAATTGATATTTTCATTGAAATAATCAAACAATTTCTTGTAAGATTTAAACACTATACAGATTTGCATCAAAGTATTTTTTGTGATAGTGATTTTAATCACTAATACATTTCATCAATACTTGTCCAACTTACACTATATCCCTAATGTGCTGCGATTTTCATAGTGAATTTAAAAACATTTAAACTATTAGAATTTAAGAAATAGCTATAATAATAGTTATTCAAATTGTTATACTAAAAAATAGTATGTTTCTCTGTTTAAAATAATGTTTTAAATCCGAATTTACTAAAATTAAAAATATATTTGTGTGTGTTAAATTTAAATGATTTATCCTAAGTTTTTATTTTTATTTCTGTATTTTTACATTAATTAATTTTCATGTTTAAAAATTTAGCTGTTACAGGATCTCGTTATTCAGGAGGAAGGCCTAATGGAGCTCAAAACTCTTCTCTTGTAAAGCAAACTCTTAATGACTCTATAACTCTTACACCAGATAGTGCAAGTGATTTAGAAGTAGGATTTCAAGAATCATGTTCTGGTTAGTAATTATTATCTTGAATGTGTTATGCATGTTTTCATACAAATAATTTAGTGGTTGAAATGATTTTATTATTTAGATAATTTCATTTTTATGTTGACATTTATTATTTAGTTTTAATTTTAATATAGTAAAACCAAAGTGAAAACTGATTTTTAATAATTCATTTCATAAATACTGATAAAATATGTTAATGCCGAATTTAATTTTAAACCATTATTTAAAATTACTTAAAATCTCTCTTTAAAAATGTCTGAATTACAAGTAGATCTACTAAAGTTAGTTTTATTTAATTTTTTGTTTTTTGTTTTTATATTTATAAAGGGAAAATAAGCTTATTTTGACATTTTGACTTTTTTATGACTTAATAGTTGAAGTTTTTTAAGGAAATAATTTTCTTAGAGTTAAACTTTTTAACAATGTTCTTATTAAGTAAATTTTCCCCAATTATAGAATGATATAATTACTGTTTATTCTGAAATCAAATATTTTATTTTTCTCAACTAACTAATTCTTTAATATTATTTTAGTATTTATAAACCATGAGTGTAAGTGTGGTCCTTTCATGGATTCTTCAAAATTGTTTGAACTTCCTAAACAATTAGGTCCTGGTTTGGTACAAAAGGTTTTAAAAGATACAATACAACATTTGGTAAATACTGCACATGATATACAATCAGTGACAACTTTGATGAAAAAACAAGGAGATAGCACTTGTACTGTAACAGGTAAAATTAAACATTTTAAAACAACTAAACATAATTGATTTAAAATTTTATTAATAGATGTGATATGTATCAAACATTTAAAACATTCAAGTTACTTAAAATATTTAAAAATTAGCTTAAAATACTAAAATAATTACTCCATAAAACAAAATTTTTAATGAAAATAGCTGTATTTAATGATAAATATTATAATTATGGATATTTGATGTAATACATATTTATATTATAATTACTTAATTCATTATGAAATATCTTAATTTATTCATACTTACACTTATGTCTATACTAAGTACTGGACTTGGGTATATTATATCATGTGATAATTGAAAAGATGAACATTATAAATTTTAACATGCTTGTCTAATGATGCAGTAACAATTGCTAATCCCTTCTTAGCCATGCACGATGCAATTACAGTCTTATGATTTTGTGTGAGTTAAGCTAATAGTTTACCAGCTAAAACATCCCATATTCAAACTTCTCTTCCATCTGAAATTTTAAATAAAAATAATTATAAAATAATTAAATAAAACTTTCATCAGAAACAAAAATTTACTTTAAATAAATCAACATTATGCGCTGTTTTCAAATCTGCTATTAGATTTCTACTATCAGTTCTAAGTTTTGATATTATTAATAATTTTTAAAAAATGAGTATTTACATAAAAAGAAATTTTGATTTTTAATATATTAAAAATGATCAGTGCTAAATATCATTTTTAACCTATTTCTTGGTCCTTTAAAATTGATTTTTGAAAGTTTATAATAAAAAAAACTAAAAATTAATACCATGACTTTTAGCTCAACTGCAAGTTTGAAATTGACAACATAACATAGAATATTTTATGAAAATTAAAAAAATGGTATTGTTAAATTTTATCATTACTATTTATAGTAAATTTATCAGTAAACATTGATATTTTATTACATTTTTATCATAATAGATCACTTAAATAAAAAATATAATTATCATTTCTAAGTAACTTTTGGTGTTTAAAAGATTCTACAATTGAAATATTCAGATCTGAATTCATTTTAATGATTTAATTTAACTAAAAACCAATCAAAAAGTGGTTAAGAAAATATACTTAATTAAGCGTATTATTATGGCTCTTTTAAGCAAAAAAAAATTGAAAAAATTCGAAATTTGTAATTTTTGGAGATTTCCTTCCTTTACAGGGAACGAGGAAAATTTTTTTAGTTTTGAGAGTGATGTTTTCGACTAGTTATGATTTTTGATATTTTGACTGGTCATTGAATGAACTCTTGTATACCTTATAAAGGTGTCAATTTTATTTTATTTTAGTAATAGATATATTTAACTACATTACAAAATAAAAAATGATCTAATTATAAAAATTACTAGTCAATAACAACTTTTGAATTGGTACTTCAGAAGTTATAACTATTCTAAAATATAGAGTGGTGGTAAAATTAATACCTTTCAGCTTCGCATAGAAGCTAATAAAGTTGACATCCTTATTATCTTTGAGGGGTGAAATAAAAATTATTTAATAGCTTATATAGTTGTATAATTTATATGAAACTAAAAGACACCAATATTAATTTTCCTAACATAATTGTTATTTTAAGACAAATTAAGTTGTTAATTCGATAAAAATCTCTCTTTATGTTTAATCTCTTTATGTATCTTTATATGTATCTCTCTTTTTTTTTATAAATTAATTATCTTATTTATAATAAAACTCATTTAAGTCTTAGGATTAAATGTGTTATGAATATTTACAGCTTCAATGTAATGCTGTAAGATTATTAAGTATTGACTATATTTCTAAAATATTGTGATAAATATCCGCCCCGTGGGCAGGTAAATAGTCAGGTTTTCAAAAAATGTATATCATATAAAAGGAAAATATGAACAATTTCTATATAAAAAAAAATTATTTTGATCCATTCATTTTTGAAAATGTTATGGCAGTTTTAAAAATTGTAATTTTTTTGAAGATTTCCCCCATTTATGGGAAATTAAAAAAAAATTTTGAATTTTCAAGGGCAATGTCTTCAATTAGATATGATTTGTAATCTTTTGACTTATCGTTAAAAGAAATCGGTTTGGTGAGAGCTAAGAAAAAGTAGCTACAAATATAAAAAAAAAAATCATAGTAAAATTATACTGTCTCATCTTGGGATTGAAACTAATAAAAAATATTTGTTATAGCTACTTATGAAGGAAAATCTAGAGTTTTTAAATTACCAAAGATAGAAAAAGCCGTTGAATTTTGGGAATATATAAAAAGTCTATTGGAAGATTTATCATGTTGTTCTCGTTTATTAAGTCCTACATTAAATGTATGTTCAGAGTGTAAATTAGATAAAGGTTAGTTTTCTAGTGTAAAATGTATTATATAAAAATAAAATATTTTAATGAATTAATTTTTAAATATTTTAGTTGTTAACAATTCTACAGCAATTAATGATGTTAGTAAAAATATTAAAAGACAAGGTTCACCTGAAAGTTCAACACCATATATGGGTTTAGTCACAAAAATTGCTCGTTCAAATGAACCTGAAATGGAAGCTGCATCTTCAACTACTCCAGCAGAAGATCTATCTAGACTGCCTGTAGATCCAGTAGAATGGTCTGTTGAAGATGTTATTCAACATATTAATTGTGTAGATGTTCAGTTAAATGTATTTGCAGAATTATTCAGAAAACATGTGAGTTTTATTAATATCATTATTGAAATAAAATAACTTTACAAATAATAAGTCGTTCTTTTAACTGTCTTATTATTACATACCGTTATTTATGTAGCAAAACCTTATTAGTTATACAGGGTGATTCATTAAGACACTCATTTTCTCGGTAACTATTGAAAATTTTTAATTTTGATAAGGAAAATATTGTTTAATTAAAAAAACTACAATAATATGTAGTAAAATCATAATTTTTTTCATCCCAATAAGGTTAAAAAACATTAACTTGAATTTTCTTAAATGGGAACCCCTATTTTTAATTTATTATTATGATTTAAAATAAAAATACAAACAACTTTGCTGTTATATATTTTTTTTTTCCGATCAAACGTTCGTCTGTTACAGCTTGTTAAAGTTGAATAATTTTGGACTAAATTTCTATTATTATTTTACTGTTTTGAATACAGAAGTTACTATTTTTAATATAAACTAATTTTTATTGACCAAGATATGACATGTAAGATAGCAATAATAATTTACAACACACTAATTGAGAGATAATAGTAATAGATTCAAATCGAACCTTAACTATATTATTAATAGCACAGTCTATTGGTTTGTAAGACAAACTATAACACTGAAGAATCAATTTCTTTGAAAAACCCAACTCTACACGTAGTATAGTGACTCTTAAAATAATCGAATACTAGGATAATGTTATCGTAATCATTGCTTACACAAAGTAATCTTTATTTTTGTTGACAGATACATATTAAAAGTTGTAGTATACCTCATAAACAGAATTAAGTTAAATTAGTTTATGATGGGATGAAAAAAATTATGATTTTACTACATATTATTGTAGAGTTTTTTTAATTAAACAATATTTTCCTTATCAAAAATTTAAAATTTTCAATAGTTACCAAGAAAATGAGTGTCTTATCCTTAATGAATCACCTATATTTTTGAAAAAAAAAATTTTTTCACAAAAGTGTGTATAGTATACAAATTATTTTCTTATGTATGATGATTTCATAAGAAATATATTCCATAGTAAATTTGTCATGTTATTGTTTAAATATTAAATTAAATTTTTACAGCAACAAATGCAAAACCAAAAATTTTTAGTATCTGTAAAATTGATAAAATTTGCCTTACAATGTTTTATTACATATCCAACAATGTGTTACCTGCAAAATATAATCATATTTTTTAGTATTCTACTAGTGATGGTGTGTAAGATATTTGAATTTTATCAGTTTATTATAAATCATTGGATTCATTACCAAATTTCAATAAATAAATATTCAATTTAAAAATTTTGCATAATGTTTTAATTAGAACTTTTTTGATAAAGATTTTAGCTCATAAGATTTATCAAGAATGTCTTATACCTTGGTTTTCAAATATCAAGGTTCTTCTATTACATTAAACTGTATAGCCTAGTTTTTTTACAACTATTAATATGTATAGTTTAGTTTAATACTTAATTATTATAAATAAAATGTAAATTATAAAATTTAATGTGTACTTGTAATGGTTTTTTTAAATTTTGCAATATTTTGTTTACGCTATTAATAGCTATAATAAGAGCAAAAAAAAAATTACATGATCCTAATAAGTGCTTAAAAATGTTTTTATAAAAAAAATTTAATTACATATGATAAAATAATTTATATCAGAAAACCATTAAAATGAAACTAACTTATTGTATCAAAAATGTTAAATATATTATATTAAACATTAAAAATTTTACATTGTATATAAAAAATTATGCTAAAATCTGTTAGCAAATATTACTATATATTACTTAATTTTTATTCTGATAGTTATTACCTTTTTGAAAATAAAAAAAAATATAAATAACTAACATATTGATATTTTACAATCAATGAATATAACAAATTTTGGAATGTGTAATAAAATACAAAACTTTATCTTTAATATGGATGAAGCTTGAAAAATTTATCTACGAAGGCTATTGTCTTATATTTTATTTCATAAGTCTAATCGGTGTAGAGATTCTCTACTATATTAGTTTATTTTCCTTTGTCTTCCTAAAATTAATTGTTTGTTAGGACTACAATGGTAAGGGTTTAAGCCCCTACAACATCTATAAACACATGTTAATAATCTTGAATGAGTTATCAACTAAAAAATTGAACTCTTATTCATATAGTAACTGTTAGATTTATGCAAGAAGACTACTAATCCACTAATAAATTATATTTTCTCAAAGGAAAACTATGATATAAAAAAAATTATACTATTAGTATTACCATTAATCAGCTATAATAATTAATTTATGTTAAATATTTAAACTAATTAAAAGTGATATATATTTTAATATTTTGCATTATTATGCAAGTATTGTAAATAAAGTCAAAAGGTATTAATCAATTTAATTGTAATAACTAGTTTAAAGTCTATTAATTTGATCAAAACAACAATTTTTATGTTAAGTAAAACATAATTATTTATCAACCTTGTTAAATTATTTTTAGGAAATTGATGGAAAAGCATTATTATTGTTGAATTCAGATACTATGATGAAATATATGGGGCTAAGACTTGGCCCTGCTTTAAAATTACAAAACCTAATTAATCGTTTAAAACCAAATCGCAGATGAAAAAAGTGCATAATTCTGTCATTGGAATATTTTTATATTTAAGTGTTTATATTTCAAGATGTTTAGATATTTCTGTATGGAAAGATAAATTATATATACACTGTTGATAATCAATTTTAGTAATTGATCACTTATTTGTTTTTATATTAAGTACATTAGTATTAAAAATAATACTATAATGTGTAATGGTGCTTAGATTAATTACAAAAATATCTAACTTAAGAATTAGACATTTATTAATTTGGTTTTCACAGTAAACCATTTAAAGATACACCTACTTATGTATAATTATAATAATATTATTAAAATTGACAGATAATATAATGTAAGAAAATTTATCTCATAATACTTTATTTAGTCATGTTTATAAAAGCATATTATTATGTGATGTCACTTTTAAATAACAAATTATTTATTCAATTATTTAAATACTTTATTACTATAGCTAAAAATTATATTTTTAAAAAAAAATTAATACATTTTATTTAAATGTAATAGACAGTTGAGTTTCAAAAACTCAGTTTTATTAATAGTATAAATATAAAAATTTACCCTAATTCTAAATTTTCCTATTAACATTTCAATTTCTAAAAAAATTTTGCTTGTAATATCCAATTAAAATATGGTATAAACAATGTAATATTTATAAAAAGTATTATTGTTACTATTCAATAGTAAAAAATAACAGAAGACTCATCATTTGAGATCAACTATTTATTTGTTTATTAATAATTTTTTTTTAGTTTCAATTTATACAAAAAAATTAATTTAATATTATTTTCATACTGTGTTAATGATAAAATTTATTAAATAAAATTACTATCAATATTAATTGTCATTTAATAAAATTTTCATTTTATATACACTTAATAATTTTTTGTAAGTTAAATCTTAAGTGTGCATGTAATTATATTTTATTTATCTCTAAAGAATGTTTTATCATTCTTGGAACTAAACCTCGCTTAGTTAAAAAGTTGAAGTTTTGACATCCTAGCTAATTTAAAAAAGTAATTTAGCAAGTCGAGTATGGATTAAAAAAATGTTGTGATCAATACTGATAAAGTTGTCATTTTTCTATCTTTTACATTTTTGTTGTTAGATTTTATTTTTTAGATATAATTTAAAGATATTGATGTATATATATACTTTACTTTTAGTTTAAACAAAATATTTATGTATATTGTACTAGTATTAAATGTTAATTTTCTTATTTTTAAGCCGTATTGGGAGAATTATGTATTGGCAATTGTTTCTGTGATGTTAGATGTATTTTGATTGAATGTATTTAAAATTATATTTTTGTAAAATATAGTAATTTGTTTGCACATTTTAGGTATTAAATATTTGCTCTGTAAAATATTTTCACTCAACAATCAAAGGCAATGGTGCAATGATCAGATTTTTTCTAACCAACTTAAATATATGTCATCATTAAAAAAAAAGTTGATATCTCTATAAGAAATGACGCTAAAAATTAAATAATAACAGACAAATAAAAAAGTATACGTAACTATAAAAATAAAATTTGTTTGTGATGGGCCAAATCAGCAAATTTGGAAAACCGAATAACTAAATATCTTTTCACGTTAAATATTAGTTATAGGTATGTACCTAGATAGACATTTTTAAAAATAATATAAAAATATAACATTGTTTAATAAAAAATAGTATTAAGGAAACCTTTTCTATGAATATTATCTAACCTTATCTAATGAGTTTCTATAATTTAATTTAAAAATTCAATACATAGTAAACAGATCTCTTTTGTATTTATTTAAAACAAGTAAAAAACAGCTTTTATTTTATTAAAAATTATAAGATATTGGTACAATAATCGTCGTTGGTTTCCGTTTTACTAAAGTTGACAAATTTCAAATAATTAAATTTTCACAACGTAATCTGGTGGTCAATTGAAATCAAAATCAGCTTATTATTCTTATACTTAATTATAAAAAAAAAAATATTTATAAAATTCATATTTTTTCGTTATGCAGTAATTTGTGTCATTCTAAGCTAAATTAGTTATCTTATTATGTAATAAAACCACAAATAAGATAAAATCACATCTTATCTGTGATAAATATTAAAAAAATTAGCTGATGTTGAAAAAAATACTTTTTGTCCCATTCATAATTTTTTTTTAGCTTCGATGCGAAGCTGAGAAGGTATTGGTTTTACTAAGATGTGTTTTTTTTTTTTTTTTTTTTTTTTTT